AGAATGTAAGAAAACCTACGGAAAGCTGTTATTATTAAAACTCAAGTTCACCATGATGAGAAAAAACTGAAATATATTCCATGTCTAAAAGCTCAGTATCTAGTGATCCTTGGCACCAGCTTTATTCTTTATTTATTTATTTTTCTGCTACAGAGTAGAAGTGAAGAAATATTCCATTATATCCTAAACTGAAACGATCGAAGAACACAAAATCAATTTGTACGAATAAAGATTCGAACGCTTGAACTAGGCTTTGCAACAAACTGTAAAACTAAATGCACTGTTTTATGTCTGTATTCTATACAACTATTGAAGTTCTGCAACCCAAGCATGAATTCGTAAGCGAAAAAATCTAGATACACTTACTGGGATATCGCCCGACACTCCAGCAAAAGTATCTAGATAAAAGAGTAAAAAATATCGGGTTATCTAGANTGTTTAAAAAAAAGAATCGCTAGATATAAAAAGCGTAATAATTAGTTGTAAATCGAGGTGAAAAAAAGGAAGAAAGAAACACAACTCGTGCAGAGATTCAAACTCTGTACCTAGAGATCAGTAGTCTTCTATCTACGCCATTGTACCACACGAGCTTACACAAATAGATATACATTTTTCATTCTCTTCTTTTTATTATGGATAGAAATAACACTAAATTTAAAATAACTAATTAACAATAATAAGCGTTTCTCACCATGATAGAAGCATTTATTAGACTTGAGTCTGGAACATGAAATGCTGGAAATTTAATTTCTTAAAATTTTTCTACTGATGTTGGGTCTCTAAAAGTTGGTCTTCAGACTAAAAAATGGTGTTTTGTGCTTTTTATCTTGAAGATCTGGTTGTACAAAGCTGAGCCTGGTAGATAAAATTTAGAAAACTAAATTTGCTACACATTCTGTTCCAAACTCAAACTTGAGAAGTACTTTGTTCGCGGTGGGAAACTGAAAATTAGCTTTAAAAATGTGGTTTTCCTGAATTTTTACTGTGAAGGAGATGTTTTCCAAACTTGAGCCTAGAAGATGAAATTTAGCAAATTAAATTTCCTCAATTCTATCTGTTAGACTCAGCTTTGTACAACCTAAGCTTCACGGTGTAAAATGATAACTACTGTTTCTCTACATTTAGAACATTGTGATTTCTCACTAGTTGCATCTAGCTGGAAATCGCCTTACACTAGATACATCCTCTCGATTTTAACGGTAGGATGGAATGGAATTGACTTAAACCGGTGTTCAAGCAGATGAATCGATCGATATATCCCACGATGCATCGCCCAATACATCGTACGATGTATCGGCAGCTTTATCGGGCGATTTCACGCGTGTCTCATCTGCAGCCGATATACAACTAGATTCATCTTCCGATATATTGCCCG